CCCCCCCCCCCCCCCCCGCGCGCAACCAAAACAGCAAAAAATAGCCTTGAATGTGACAAAGATAGCAAAACATAGCGTTGTATGTTGTATTCTTGAAACCAATACCAAGCATGCACTTGTTATGTTCAAAAATAACTGTCAAACGCAATGTCGCCAGCACTTCCGCAAACAGAAGGCGAGGGCAGACCCCGCACGCCGAAGGCAGCAGGAGAGATTGACGAGATACTTGGTGTCAAGCACAAGGGCAGCTCCAGAGCCAGGGCATCGATGCAAAGCCCATCAGCTTCTTTCGGGGGTATAGGGGGCTACGCGATTGCAACCCTACCCTACGCACCGCTCGAGAATGTATTTACATGACACAGGAAGCGGGCTGGCCCGTCATGTGTGCCTCTACACGTGCCGTAGAGATGGCCGCCTCTCTTCCCTCCTCGGCTAGACCCGGAAGAGAATCATCCGTGGAAACGCCTCTTTCGCACCCACTCTAGGCTCGGAACAGGTTTTGGAGGAGCTTGGTGAGGAAGAGCGGGCATTGGTTCTTGGTGAACAGCAGAGGGTGCTGTGAACGCGCAAACAAAGGGGGAGCCATAAAACGGTAACGGGACGGCGAACACACAAGCAGGGGGCGGGGGGGACCATGAGGTCAATTAGATAGCACAGGAGTGGTATGTTTCGCGAAGCCGAGGTGCCGTGGTAGAAAAATAAACAATCACAAGAACCAAATAATAGCGCCCACCACTGTGCGGTCAGGCCCCCTCTATAGTGCGGGTACCCGCTATAGTGCCGGTGAAGGCGCTTGGCACATACCCGCACCCGACTGTATCATTCATCAATCTTACCTGCATGTACTCCGGCAAGAGGTGGGTGTTCCCCGTGGCACGGTAGGCGAAGTCGCCGACGTCCTCCTCGTGGGGTATCTTGAGGTCGAACCTCACGGCTCGGCGGTGGACATGGTTCACGGCCGTGCACGTCATCACGTCCATGTCCCTCATCCCCGCGTCTCCTCCGCCATCGCCCGATCCTGATATCCCCCCCCCCCCCCCCCCCCCCCCCCCCCCCCCCCCCCCCCCCCCCCCCCC